TAATCTATTTGTTCATTTCCTTATATTATCATTTCTTTTTCAAGTATTTCTTTTCCTTTTTATCTTACTGTCTTCTCGTAAGTTCTCGTTCTGCCTGAGATTTGGGAATTTTCTCTCTTTTTTTTTCCTCACTCGATTCGGCTCTTCTTGTCTCATCTTAACAGCTCACAATCTTTACTCGAAATATGATTTTTTTTCTTTCATCCTCAAACTATCACTTTCACCACTCGACATATCACAATGTTTCTACTTCCGAAGCCAGCATTTAATTTTAATGAATAATTCACGAAACCAGAAAGTAATCCCAATTATTAGTTTTAACGAGGCAACTACTGATGTTTTAAGCGACTGTCAGTACAAAATATTAGATTCGTAATTATTGTCAAATCTTCAGTGATTCGAAGCATAGGTTTTGCGAGACACCAACTGCAAACGAAGCCATTTTGCATAATATTCGCTATAGCCTCTTTCCAATGAACATTTTTCATTCGTTTTATTTTGACATGATGGCGAAAGGGAGGAGTGATCGGGCAATAGAGTAAATTTAACCTTGTGAATAGCCCACAAAAAAAGTTATCAAAATAAAATCAAAATAACGAAAGCTGCGCAAATAACTATTTAAAAATATATCATCAGAATTTTTTTTTCCCCTTATCGAAGGTTACAAGTGCAAACGTTTGTATGCGCAATGGCGTAGTAATATGCAGGGATATTTAGTGTCAAATCTTTACTTTGTTTTTTTATCTAATTTATTTTTCTATCATCCGTTTTATTTTTATTTTTTTAATTTCAATATTCACTCAAAACGAATCGTTACTCTTTCAATTTTGCACCAGGGAGCTGTTCTATAAGACTTAACTGATTGACATTGTTTTTCTCGATGTACGTGTAACATGATTTTTGACAGGTGATCAGATATCTTTTCGGTTGTTGAGGAACTGTCTTATCTAGCATCATCGATTTTTATGGCGATACGGATTGATAGGCGAACATTTTCGCAGTTGTATATATCGGTAACAATTTCTTCAGGCTAATTATGAAATAGAGAAGACAGATGAATGCCATTTCATTCAGAGCACATTGAAGAAAGCCTTACAGAGATGAAGTCGAAAATTAAATTTTAAAAAGAAAATCTCTTGTCAAATTTTGACTTCGTTTACACATGAAACAAAGAGATGAAAACTGATTATTTAATTAAGTTGTATTCAGGAAATAAATTTAATTTCTCAAAATTAGAAGGAGACCTTTGTAAATTCCAAGCCATATTATGAAAAAGATTTCTTGAAAAATTTGATTCTCACAGGATATATTGCGGGGAAAAATGGACTGAAGCGTGACTGATTCGTTTTCCACGGCATTTTTCACTTTTCAGTGGCTGATAGTAAGAGGAATCACATTTTTCTCTTATAGATTGCAGTTTCTCTCTACAAAATATATGTTCACTTGAAGAGATTTGACAAAGCAGAAGACAGTGACCCAATGTTTTAATCTTTCAAAGCTAGAAACTTCTAGGTACTTCCCATTGTAATAAAGGAATTACATTTTTTTCCATCTTGGTATAACTTTCTTGATGATACCATTTAAGGCTAAAAAGTCTATTGATTGTTTTATTTTCTACTACTTATCAACTTTGTGCAGGTTATTTAAAGTCAGAAAATATTTTTAGATTCTAAGAATTTTTTTTTGAGATAATAATTGTTTAGTAATAGAAATGTTACTATGAATCCATAAGAGGGGGAGAACAGATGAATTTCTACCTTTCCCAAGGATATTTGCGCGTCACTGAAGGTAACGAACTTGACTTTAATTGGAACAATTCCGAGCCATTATCCATTACACCATTTGTATATCTGAGCTTACAGCTGCTGGTATTTACAAGCGGTCACCCATCTAAGTACTGACCAGGCTCAACATTGCTTAACTGGGGTGATTGTGTCGGAACCAGCGTTTCAACGATGCACAGAAGAATCCAGTGAGCAACCTACGTAATAAATTTGTATAAATGGGTGGAAAAGCGGAGTGAAAGAAGAATTGTAAAGAGTTAAACGTTGCTACAAAAGGTGGGAAGTAGTGGAGAGACGTGAGCGCCTATGGCTTGAAAGGACAAGTCATATAAATGAAGAATATGTTTAAGAAAGTGAATTCATATGTCATTTGTAAAATCAGTGAAAAAGGATGAAAGTATTTAAATACTTCAGACCGGGATCACTTAACACAGAAATTATTTCGTCTTCCGCTCAAGGACAATCGCTACTTTCAATGTCTTTATAACCCTCTACAAATTCTTTGTAATCGCTAACTCAGTGGTTCTTAGGGATTGAAGTGCTTCTTTGAACCTCATGGAATCTCTTTACACAATCACAAACAATATCAGTATCTCCGGGGTTATTTATCCCAGGTTATTTATGGGTGTCTGCTTTACTGCTTGTTAGTCATCCACCAAACCAACCAAAATAAACATGAATGCAATCAAATTGGAAACGAACAAATCTAGTAAACCCAACCTAAGAAAAAGTAAACTCCAGTTATTCCATCTTTTATACTAATGTAAGTGGTCTGCATTCTAACTTTCCAGAAGTAGAACTCCATTTTCTTCATTCAGGGGAATGACGTTACAGAGAATGTTTCTCTGATCACTACAATCTTAGTGTTCAAGTGTAGAGTCAACCGTTATCTTTCCCTCCTATCCATATAATCTACCCCTAACCCTCTACCTCGAGTGTCCTTCGAGGCTTATACAGAGTGAATCTTACTGAAAAGAAATGGTGGCGATGTTCCACACCACTTTAATAAAAAGGTTAGGAAGGAAATCCTCCTGGAAAAAGCGATAAGCGCTACAGGACTTGAGAATCCTGAAACATTTTTTTTAATAGAAAGATTTCATATATTTAAAACAACAGAAGCACTGACTACTCGGTTAAGGAATTCCAAATGTTTCCACATAAGGAAACAACTAACTTTGCCATTACAGTTACCATTCACTTCGAAATTCAGAAGATTCACGACAATGAAATATTTCGTGAGATATCTACCATTCCAAAGTAACTGTATTTTCCTGGCTTCATTCTTATCTAAGGATTGGTATGAACCACTATCTTATTCATTGCCAGAAATTAGTTTGCAATCCGAGTTCAAATGATTCTTCTTCTTCTTCTTCTTCTTCTTCTTCTTCTTCTTCTTCTTCTTCTTTGTGCCGTGTCCCTTGAAGACGTTGACTACCACGGCTCTCCACAATTTCATGTCCTTTATAGTTCTTAATAAATTTTGTTGTTATTTTCTCTCCTAAGCCTTGTCTTGGCATTCATTTATTCAAACTCTCTAGATAGATTATGCGTTGTTTCCCTCTGTCCCTCTTGCCTTAACGCTGTCCTGTGAGTATCACATTTTCCAAGCAATCTTTCATCATTATACGTTAGATAAGTTTCAGTTGTCTCTATTCGATGTTAAGTCTAAGTGTCTTTCCCCCATTTTCTCTAAAACTTCTTCTTTGCTCTCACATGATTATATATTGGTTTTCATTGATCCTAACAATTTAATTTCTAATTATTCGTGAGATTAATCTTTGAAGAGAAAATACAATATTTTTGGGATCTCTTTTTGGTTAACTATTGACAATTTAAAAAAAATAAAAATAGAATTGATTTAATAAGCACGGATGGGACGGTGTAATCATATAAACTTCGCGAGCTGTTCATTAGCTGCTTAGTATGTGCTTTGCTAAGGCTACATACAGTTTGAATTCAGAGTTGCCTTTCTCTTAGACTAGTTGCCAGCGAAGTCTGAAAATCACAGCCTTCCCTTCTATGTAATCCATAAATTGCGAGAGAAGAGATGGGTTGATATATTTCCCAATGATGTGTAATGAAACTCGACTGGAATTCGAACACGGTTCTCCGATTTCTTGTTTGGAGATGCTATCCATTACACCACCCTTAAAAATAAGGCAATAAAATAAGACAATAAAATAAGACCGTAATCGGTTTGAATTCAAAATCTCGCCTGTTTCCATCACCATTATCATCAACAGCAACATTATCTTCATCTGTCTCATGGCCACGGCGCAACTGTGCACCTCATTAGTTCTTCCCGATGTCCTCCAACCTGAAGGCTCATACCGATCACGGACACTTGGCCGTTGGTTCCATCGGGGGACACCTTCACCCCACCCTGGCCATTGACATCAGTAGTAACTGTATCTACCACATTGTGTTACATGGCTATTTACTCTACAAGAAGCTTGATCCGACCATTAACATGTATTATTCTTTATCCTGCTAGCTGTCTAGCCAACATGCTCATCAGAAAAGGCTGTAGGGAAACCTGTTTAATTGGTCATGACCTGACCATGCAGATAGTGCTGATTACCATGGTACCACTCGTACTCGTAGAGTCACCAGATACCAAAGACACATGCAGGTACATCTAAATTATAAGACTATATTTCTTTGATATCATAGTTTTATATAATGTTTGCGCATGCACATACACACAGGGAAACACACAACTTTCTTTGTTTCGAGCGTACACACAAATTTTGACCTTCATATATTAGATAACACATATTGATAAGTCTTATTTTTTTTAAATTGTCAGTTTTTTTACAAAGTCTGTCACTTTTAATGTCTCAGTTTTTTAAATATCGTGTCCCTTAAGGACGTGGGCGATTATAACAATCTACTCTGTTTTCTTAATTATTTACAATTAAAACATCTTCTAAATAAACGTTTTGGTATTGATTTCTATCCTCAACTTATTCAGTTATTCGTATAAAACCATTTCTCTTTTTACTCTGAAAGTGGCAACTACCTTATCATTTAGAACACAGTTTAACAATGGGCATAGCACACCTAGTAGGACTGAAGTCAACTTATAGCAATAGACAAGCAGACTTTACGCGAAGAGGCCAAAGGGAATTAAGGAACATTTTAAAAATATCACAAATTTTCATTTTTGCAATGCATAATGTTTTAAAAGGTTGTCTTCATAAAATAATAAAATAAATTACTCGAATTTTTATTTCGTTTCGTAGGAGATTTAACTTATTGCATTTATTCGAGGAAAGATGAAAAGATGTTATTGCTAAAAAGGAAAGAAACTCATTTTGCGCATAAGAAAAAAGGTTTTAAATGAAAAATTTTTAAATTTTAAAAATTATATCACCCCAAGCAAGGTAGTCATTCCACTATGACACAACGGGTTAATGGCAGTGAAAGAATAAAAAAGAGAAACATTATTAAGAAGCGAGAACAATAGAAGAGTAATCAAGAAGGCATTAAATAACGATTGACATTTAAATTTTTGACGATCAAAGTTGGCTGGAAAGCATAGAGTCGGAAGAGATTTCTACAAGCGAGAAGTGCCATAAAAGAAACAGTTAGCAAAGATCTAGCCAATTCATCTGTGAGCTGATGAGACCTTATCGCCAATCGAGTACTGCGCTTAAATTCATAAATTCTAGGTACCATAGCGGAGAGTTCATCTGAACAATTACCATGAAAGTATTTATAGAAAAGGCACAAGCTACATTACGGCGGGGAGGGGAAGTGACTGAAAGTCAGGACCAATAATATTGTTGATTCTTCTTTGGACTTTATCAAGAATCTCTAAATATACAGTAAGATCACCAGACTATATGTGGCAGCAATATTCAAAGCATGGACGAATGGTAGACTTATAAATATGTCAGACAGATTCTGAGGAGAAAACTAGTCTTGCACGCCACAGAGAACCAAATTTCTTAACAGTGGACCTAGCAAGTGATTAAATATAATCTTTCCACTTCATGCCAGCCGACAATGTTAACACAAAAAGACGCAACGAATCTCACTTATGGAGGTTAGTATCAGCCATGATGAGGGAAGGCCGGACGGAGTCCTTCAGGTGATTGATAGAGAGATGTTTTGTTTTGGCGACATTAAAATTAACAAATCATTTCTTGCCCCATTTAACAACAGACTTTTTAGATCAGCTGCCAATTCGACTTTATTGAACTTATCAGACTTATTATCGAGACAGGAGTAAATTGTTGTGTCATCAATATAGATATCAAGTTGAGAACTGATGTCACCAGGAAGGTCATTGATGAGAAATAGGCCTAAGAGTAGAGCCCTTGGGCACACCTGCATTAGTACAAAACGATCTAGAAGAGTGATCATTCAGAACAATTTTCATTTTGATAAGAAAAACAAAATTAGTTCCGAAATTCGTTAAAAAATACTATAGCCTTTCAGGTTATGAAGAAGACCAGTATACTTAACTCTACCAAACGCTTTCGAGATGTCCAATGAAAAATGTTTCGTTTTAATGATTTTTTCATATGCAAAATAAATTAATTTTCTTATGTATAAATCTCAAAGTTTTTGTGTGTCCGCTCAAGATCTTGAAAATTAATAAGGGATATTTTGACAGCGACGGGATTTGAAGAAAATCTAATTAATGCTCGGAGTTTGTATATATTCCCTTGAGTTGCTATTTAATATGTCAACAGGTATGTGAGGAGCAATTATTTTTCTAATGTGTTTCCCACTGTGCCACAAGGCCTATATGTCATGTATGGGATAAACTATTATTAAAATATTTAAATCAATCGAAATGCTTCATTTATGATAAGTTTGTTAATACAGTTTTATAGCCGGCGCAAATCTCTCAAATAAAGAAATGATTGTGTAGCATAGCGAAGCAAAGGAAAATGACTCGATCAAGTCGGTACCATTGTTAGCAATAAATTAAAGATAATAATAGAAACAGAAAATAGTGATTAACTATCCTGTATTCCCACTGGAAAATGAGAGTAATGTTTTGGGTTTAACTGCTTAGGTCGATCCTGGTCACGGCATCAAATTCAAATCGTGGCGCTCACCAACCAACGTTGTGATTATTTAAGTATGAACAGATACCACGTCGCCCGGTTTGAAATGTCTCTGGTTAAAAAGCGTCCCACAGCAAATGACAGCACGTAGAAACAAAGGATGGAAGTCTGGGTTGGTATCTTTCATTTGTAGCTTCAGCCAAATGATTGACTCAACCCACTTGGAAAAAAATAACAAGGTTTAGATGTTTTCATAGGAACGTAAGTTTTTTGGTGCTGCGAATCTTAAGTTCTACTTCAGTGCCAAGAGTGACTGGAGATTTTTCTTTACGGCAAGATCCTTCTTTGCAATAAACGCACTAACAGCGAGTAATACGAGTCGGGCTGGCGTACGTTTTCGTCAGTAATTTACTTCATAATCTGGTTTAGAAGATTTTTGGACACTTCGTAGCAACGAGCTTTCAACACTGCAGCCTAACCACTACGATTTAAACTAGTTTTTTTATACCGTCCCTACGCACATTGAATATATGACGATACTCAGAATTGATCTTATCCTTGAAGTAATTCAATCTGATTAACTCACCTAATCACATGGTCCAAAAAAGAACAGTTTTTTTTTTATTTCCGTTATACTCTACTTGTTAATCCTGATAATTAAAACTAGTGCGTGACAAGAAAAGAAGCTCTTTTTCTTATTAGGTCATCGAAACACCACATTGGCACGCACTCACCTGATCAAGGATTTCGAAGCAAAACGTATTTTCTGATAGATTTACTTGTCATTCTGGTCTAACCTAAGATGATCATCTTAACGGCTAACATATCTAGTTAAAAACAACTGTGTTTGTTTTCGGCATTTGCTTCATATCTACTTTCATTTTCTTATCACTTGTCATCGTTCTGTGTGAATAAAAAGATTCTTATTTGATTCTCAGACAATCTTTTCCATTTTTGAAAAGGAAAGAAATAAAAAAAAAAACAATTTTCGTTCAGTACATTACTGAATCTCCACCAGCTTCTCGAATCAACAATCTCATAATACTGCCACATTTCTTATCGTAGTCTCTCGATCAAAGCAGAGACATCAAGACTTACTCCTCATCATTTCCCGTTATAGTAAAATAGAGAGCGACTGTCTGGAGACAAATCCCAAGGATCACAGGTTTTAAAACAAAGTAGCTAGGGAATTGATTGCGTAACTTTTGGGGGTTATAAATGTCAAAGTCAAAAAAGATTTTGACATTTATAACCCAAATATTTATATTATTCTTGAATCAAAAGCTATAATGGGCCTATTTATACTCAGATCTGCAAGTATCCAGCTGAAAGTTACCTCCCTTTCATAAGTCTTCTTCGGAAATGCGGTCTGTCTATTCGAAGCCTCACTTACAGAGT